CAACCTGGGAGAGGACAGCGCCTATGGCAAAGTCGGAAGCGTCGCACTCTACCCGGAATGGCTGGTCAGCGCAAGGCATCAGGAGGACTGGGGAGGACGTAAAGGCCTGCTTCATGCGATTGAACGCTTCTTCCTGTTCGGGACCCCAATTCCAAGGCACTGTCTTCTTTGTAAGGTCGAAGAGTGGACACGCGATAGACGAGAAGTCGGCGATGAAGCGAAGGTAGAAGTTGGCGAAACCGATGAAGGACTGAATTTCCTTGACGTTGCGGGGGGTAGGCCACTCCATGACGCCCGCAACCTTAACGGGGTCTATCGACATCTGGTTGTGTGATACCACCAGTCCCAGGAACTCGACACTTTCACACTCGAACTGACACTTCTCGGGCTTGAGGTAGAGGTCGTGATCTTGGAGCCGTTGTAGAACTCGGTTGACAACATCACGATGCTGCGTCAGCTCCTTCGTATGAACCAGGATGTCGTCCATGTAGATGCTGATGACGCCTTCATCAATCATGTCCCTAAAGATCTCGTTCATCATGGTCTGGAATGTGGCTGGCGAATTGGTCAAGCCAAAGAACATCACCAAAGGCTCAAATAGTCCATGGTTTGTCTTGAACACCACCTTCCATTCGTCACTCTTCTTAATGCGGATGTTGTTATAACCGCAACGCACGTCCATCTTGGAGAAGATCTTGGCACCCGTGAGCCGGTCCACGATGTCACTGATAAGCGGCAGCGGATAGGTGTTCTTGACCGTGCCGGTGTTGAGGATGCGGTAGTCCTGAACCGGTCGAAGAGTTCTGTCTTTCTTTTTCATGAAGAAAAATGGACTCACCATGGGTGACTTGGATGGGCGCAGAATGCCGCGTTCCCGACCATCCTTCAGAAGGGTGTCCAGTGCCGTCTGCTCATTTGCCGACATCGGGTAGACCTTGCAGTTGAGTGGATGGGTCTGCAGACACTCCTCAAACTCCGGTTTCAGGTCGATGGCGTGGTCGAATGGACCGTGGTCGGGAAGGCGCTCC